AGTCATGTGCAAATGAAATTTAATCATTTGGCAGTGGGAAAGAATGCTTGATTTGTAACAGAGTTAATTTTCAGTTGACTCTGAAGATAACAGAGAAGCTTTAGGAGCCTAATTAAGCCACGCATTTGCACTAATTACTTTGGCTGCAGACCTCTAGGAAACAAAAGCAGCCAACAGAACTGTTCTCTGTGTAGCAGTCCGGAATTTGACTGTTGTTTTCTCTAGCAGAGGTTGTGAGTAGCACAAAAGTAAAAAAAAGCTAAGAACAGCCATCATCTGCAAATTGTGACTGCAGCCACAAACCACTCAGCAGTCCTTATTCCTGCATAGTGTAGAAAGCATCATTCATGGAACATTGATAGCAATCATGATTACTAGCATCATTTCTGAGTATCAAGAGTAAAGGCACACACATTTTGATCCACATAATTGGATATTACCTAAAAAAAGAGTATGGAGATAATCATTAAAGACTAATCTATACATTGAGCAAGGACAATGACAGTTCTTTTATACTGATTAATTTTCCTTTTAGACTTTATTTTCTTGAATAATATCCATATTTACTGCAATGGTTTAATTTTTAAACTAAGTAAATCCACATTTTATTTATCCATTTTGAGTTTAGAAAAATTATCATATAAAGTAAAAAAAAAATGAGTTTTCATGATCACTGACTAGTCAATTCAGTCAAACAAATATTTTCTTAAAACAAGATTCAAAGGAAATTCTTTCAAAAAGCAAACCCTGTTAAAGATATATTTCTTCATTACATAAAATATTTTAGAGTACCATGACTGTTTATCCATTTAACTTAGTTCGTAGATACAAATTACCAGCTGCAATGCTTGGGGTTTTCTTAATCTCAGCTAAACTGGTAAAATAAATTCATTTTAGGAATTATAGGTTTTATTACTTCTTATCCATTTTTTAAATACATGTTTCAGACTCCTGGTTCAGAGTCCAAATTTTACAAGCACTATAATGTGAGATGCAAAACAATTTTAGCTTTCTGGGGTAAATTTGTCTTACAAATAAAAATTAAAAATGGACTAAGCGAGAGAAGACTGTTAAAGCAACCATCTGGTGAATTCAGGCAAAAAAACAAAGTCTCCACTTTTTGCCTGAATCACTGACATCTCTTCCATCTCTCTACCTTATTTTGCCTATGGAAACCTGACCTAAACTAAACAACTATTCTATATCATTAAGTTGTCCAGAAAGATGAAAGTTTAAATATATGTCAAACAATCTGCAGCATCTGGTGCAATTCAGTAGTGACAGTCTTTTCTAAGCCCGTCAATGCTGCGACAAATTTATAACCAGAAAGGTTTGGTTAACCTATGGAGAGAAAATGTTCTAGTCAGACATTCTTCTTGTTTACCAGGACCTACACTTGCCAGATTCTCTCTCATTGTCAGAAACACACAAAGTAAAATTCCTGTATGAAAGATCTTACTCAATTTCTAATTTCACTTTGCTGTAAGCAAATAATATACCTTGGGTACTAAGTGATCATCTCTATGGTTGTTCAAAAATAATTTCTACATTTTTTAGAACACAATGAATAGTCCTAGGCTTCCTCTCTCCCAAACTATAGAATAATGTCATAAAGTATTATGACACATTAAATTTAATGCATTTGGATGTTCTCTTACAGTTTGATGACCAAAAAAGATAAAAAAAGTTCTTTCTTTAAGCATATAAATTTAGATATGAGATTTTTAAAAAGAGTATTAGAAGTGGTCATGATGATATTTCTGTGTATTTAACAGCTCCTTTTTAAATGGTGCTACAAACCACAGTGAGCCATATTTACACATCTCTCAACATAGGTTTAAATGTGATTTAGAAAAGTCAATACACGTGAAAAAAACAATACCAAAAAGTTTCAGTATTTATTGTATAAACAAATCAGATGAGAAAAATGCTGAAACTAGTATATAAGGCAAAGAATACTTTACAGAAGACAGTATGATGTCAGTAAATATACATAAAATGTTTCACCTTACTAGCAAATAAAATATGGTAGAATGACATTTCACACAGTAATTTTTTAAATGAGATTGTCTAATGCTGGCAATTGGTGTGACAGGGTAAACTGCTACAATATTTTTGAAAAATGATGCACCAAATATTCAAAGTTTTTAACTCAGTAATTCTAATCCAAGGTTTCCACCGCAAAGGAATAATTTAAACATTTTTAAAAGTCACAGTTATAACATATCTACTGCAGCATTATTTATAATACTGAAAACATTTTAAAAGCCCTTAAATACCCCCAAAACAAAAGGATAGTTAAACAAATTAATATACATTTGAACTGAGGAGATATTCTCAAATTACAACTGTGTGGGATATTATTCTGCATTTTAAAAGATGTTCAGGCTGACCCACAATAATATGAGGAAATGTTCTCCTGTAATGGCAAGTGAAAAGAACCTGACTCAAAATTATATACGCTACAATATAGGCCTATTGTTTTCTGAAAAAACTCTGTCCACATAGTGGGAAAGAAATAAGGATTTTTATATCTTTCCAGTATTCTCAAATTTTATTTATTCTGTTGAATATATTTTGACATTTCACATTATTAATCAAAGGACATTCAAATTAGTTGTTTTGCTTTCACATTTATATCTAAAGAAAATCTTGTGCTTGGAAAGATAAAATATTATAATGCCTATCATAAAAGGTCCCATGAGAGCATTGTAATTCTGGTTATAATTGTGTAGAGTGTTGTACATATGTGACTAGGCAGGTGAAATATATAGGTAGCAACACCAGTGTAGATATATTTATTCAAACTCCAGCCCGTTTCGGAAAACACATTTGCTTCTGGCACCTGTGAATACTGCGTATTTAGAAAACACTGTCAGCAAAAGAATGGCAACAATTGTTGCTAATATTTAGGGAACAATCAAAATGAATTTATTTTTTCCTCCAAGTCTGAATATTAAAAAGGTGCCATTTACTTAAAACAAAAATCTTTGTTCTGTTCCTAACAGAGACCAAATTAATACGCCAGAGATGAATATTTGTACGATGTGTACATTGCCTTATTTGCGGTTAGATTTCATAAATAATATCTTTGTACAACCTAAGCCAGTGCAGGGCAAATTGAATTTCTATTTTTTGGAAAGAAATGCCATATGCGCCCCCCCCCCCGTCCCTTTTTGCAAATGTGATCATTCCTTGGAGACTTCAATGTAATTTCATTTCATCTCCACTGTTAAAGAGAATGAAATCATAGGCAAATACAGGGGCAGGGATGGGGAGAGAAAGGAAAAGAAGAGTGAAAGAGAGGGAAAGGAGTGGAGAGGGAAGGGGGAAGAGAAGAAGGGCAGGACAGGGAAGCATCAGAAAGAAGGAGGGAGGAATGTGGGAGAGAGGAAGAAGAGAAGGAAAAAGGGAGGGAAGAAAAAAGGGATGGAGGGAAGGAGGGGAGAAGACCAACAGAGACACAGGGAGACTGAGATTCTTCAGGAGTTTGCACTTACACTGCAGCAGTTTTTCCAGAAGCAAGGAGGACAATAGTTCGTATTTCTGTGTTGTCAACTTGCAGACTGAAATGCAGCAAATAACTTCTTGATGTTAAATATATTCTTGGTTATATATCCAGTATGATCCTTTGTTCTAGGTAGGAGCTTTTTAAATTCTTCACTTTCGTTCAAGAAAAGAGAAATTCAACATTTTGAGATTTTATAAAGGCACGTTTTTCAAAGCATGTCCAACGAAAAAGTATCACGACAGCTCAATACTCGTGTAATTCAGTAAGAATCGAATCCAATTTTTCGTCATGGCTATATACTTTTCATGCTCCCAGATTTGGGCTTTCATAGTCATCATTAATAAAACAGCCAGAAACACCATCTTTTGACAGCCTATATTGTGTGGGCTGGAAACGCGCTAGGTTTAAAATCTGCATTCATTTTACAGGCATGGCTGTTATTCATGTGCCTCAAGAGTTGCTGTCCTTTGTCAAGGGTGGAGCGGGCTCTGGGCTCTGGAGTGCTTGTACCGCGGGAGGCAGGTTTTCAGGGATTTCAGACTCTCCCTAGAAAGGTAGTCTGCCGCCTGGGTGGAAGGGAATGGACCAGAGAGTGATAAAGAATAAAGTAAGTGAACAACATAGCGAAAGAGAGAGGGCGCCCGCCTGGGTCCCCAGGTCACAGTGGCTCTAGGTTTTGCACTAGTTTATCATCATCATTAACAGCTACTTGTGGAAGGTTGTTTACCGCCTGAGCTGACAACAATCAGGCAGACAGTGAAGCCCACTCTGAGACTCCAGCCACACCTCCTCCTCCTTCAGCTCCACCCCCTACTCGTGAATTCCCCGCCGCCTTTCTGCCAGATCTTCCCATTGGCTCCCATCCTAACCAATCAGAGCCTTGTAACAGTTCCACCTGGCTCCTGATTCCCAAATAAACAAACAAATCCTCCCGCTACAGTGCCAGTCCTTCTCACTAGCTCTTGCTAGCGCCCCGCCTCCTACCACCACCTCTTTCCTCCTCCAGCCAATCGAGCTCGGACTCTGGAGCCCGCGCCAGACCCCCAGAGCTGGCCACTGTCTCTTCAGTCCGTGCTTGCCCTCTCCGTCCCTTCTGCAGTCGTGGGATCCTAGTTAGGATCCTCATGGACCTAGAGCCCCTCCTCCTCCCGCTCATTTTCCCTAGGAAAACAGGCTCTGGGGTTCACCCTGAGGGTCTCTGCCAAGCTGGAGTGAGCCCCAACTCTCGGGCGCTCAGACCCCTCCTTTGCACATCTCTGCTATAGGCTGCTCGCATCCTCCTTTGCTCCAGTAGCTGGATCCGCAGCAGCTGCCTCGTGAGGCGGAGGTCACGTGTTGTTTTGCCCGCTGTGGCCTGCCCAAAGTAAAGTGGGCGGGGGCGCGGGTTGAGGAAGGAGGGGGTTGGGGCGGGCTGAAGAGTAGTCTGCCTCTTTCCCCACCCTCCCTTCCCTGAGCGCCCCCTCCCCTTCGCTCACCTTAAAACCACCGCGCATCACCATGGCGAGTTGCTCCTTCGCTCTCGACCAAGCGACAAGGAGACTGAGAGCTGCAGCAGCGGCGGCGGCAGCAGCTCTAGCAGCGGTGGCGACCACCTCGCTTCCTTCTTTGGGAACTTCGACCGCACTCATTGGGACGGGATCGTCTTGCCCGGGAGCCATGTGGCTCTCCAACGCCGCTGGCTCCCGGTCAGACTCCGAGTCCGAAGAGGAGGACCTCCCCGTCGGGGACGAAGTCTGCAAACGCGGCTACCTGCGGAAACAGAAGCATGGACACAGGCGTTATTTCGTGCTCAAACTCGAGACCACTGACGCCCCAGCTCGTTTGGAATACTATGAAAATGCTAGGAAGTTCCGGCACAGTGTCCGTGCCGCGGCTGCAGCTGCAGCGGCCGCCGCCTCCGGTACCGCGGTGCCCGCGCTCATCCCACCACGGCGGGTGATCATCCTGTATCAGTGTTTCTCGGTGAGCCAGAGAGCCGATGCAAGGTATCGACACCTTATTGCCCTTTTCACCCAGAACGAGTACTTCGCGATGGTGGCGGAGAACGAGTCGGAACAAGAAAGCTGGTACTTGCTGCTCAGCCGCCTTATCCTCGAGAGCAAGCGCCGCCGCTGCGGCACTCTGGGTGCACTGTCGGAGGGAGAGCCTGCAGCGCTGGCGGCGGCGGCGGCGGCGGTGGCGGAGCCACCCTTCTATAAAGATGTGTGGCAGGTAATAGTCAAACCCAGAGGGCTGGGTCACAGAAAAGAGCTAAGCGGTGTGTTCCGGCTGTGTCTTACCGACGAAGAGGTCGTGTTTGTGAGGCTGAATACCGAAGTAGCCAGCGTGGTAGTCCAGCTCCTGAGCATCCGTCGCTGCGGGCACTCAGAGCAGTATTTCTTCTTGGAAGTTGGCAGGTCTACTGTTATCGGTCCAGGGGAACTATGGATGCAAGTCGATGACTGTGTGGTTGCCCAAAACATGCATGAGCTGTTTTTGGAGAAGATGAGAGCCTTGTGTGCAGACGAATACCGAGCCCGCTGCCGCAGCTACAGCATCAACATCGGCGCCCACCTGTTAACCCTGCTGTCCACTAGGAGGCACCTAGGCTTGCTGCCTCTGGAGCCCGGCGGCTGGCTCCGAAGATCCCGCTTTGAGCAGTTTTGCCACATCAGGGCCATCAGTGACGGAGAAGAGGAGCTGCTGTTCACCAGGCGCTTCATAACCCCCAGCGAGCCTGTGCCTCCCTCCAGGAGTGGAAGATTGCACCTGCCCAGACCATGCAGGTCCGGGAGGTCGATTTCAGTGCCTGCCAACTTTCTTCACCGCCTAGCGCCCAGCCCTGTATGTGCCCCACACCCTGAAGAATCCCCCAAGGACGGAGCTAGTGCAGCCTCGGGCTCTGGCCCCGGAAACTCTAGGGCGAAAGGGAAAGAAGGCAAAGAGAGTCAGGAAGGAACCGAAGGTGACTACATGCCCATGAACAACTGGGGTTCAGGAAATGGCCGTGGCTCAGGTGGTGACCAGGGTACTAGTGGCCAAGGTTCCAGTAGCCAGAGCTCAGGGGGAAACCAGTACTCCAGCGGGAGGCAGGGATCTGGCGGTGGCCAGGGCTCAAGTGGCAGCCGAGGCTCAGGAGGTCAGGGCTCAGGAGGTCAGGGTGCTGGAGGAAACCAGACCCCAGGAGATGGCCATGGCACCACAGGTGGCCATGGCTCAGGCGGTGGCCAGGGACCTGGAGGTGGACATGGCTCGGGTGGTAGCTGGGGACCAGGAAATGGCCATGGCGCAAGTGGTGGCAGGAATTCAGGAGGGAACAAGGGTTCAGGAAGTGGGAAAAGCACTGAGGGTGATGGTGACCATGGAAAATCTCTGAAGAAAAGATTCTATTTTGGCAAATTAACTCAAGGCAAGCAACAGCAAATGGGACCTGCTTCTGCACCTCCACCCCTATCAGCTGGACCAACTAATGGAAAAGGGAAGGGAGGAAGATTCAGACTTTACTTTTGCGCTGACAGAGGAGCCACAAAAGAACGAAAAGATGCCAAAGAGATGAGAGATACAGAGCCTCCAGGAAGTACAGCTCTGGGTTCCCACAGAGTCAGAGCTTTTGATGAAGATGAGGATGACCCATATGTGCCAATGAGACCAGGGGTGACTGCCCTTTCAAGCTCCAGTGATTATATGCCAATGGCTCCTCAAAATGTCTCTGCATCAAAAAAGTGCCATTCTAGATCACCATTTGAAGATTCAAAAGGATACATGATGATGTTTCCCAGAGTAAGCCCACTGCCTACCCAAAGTGCTCCAAAAACGCCTGATCCTAATAAAGAGGATGACTCAAAAGATAATGATAGTGACAGTGACTACATGTTTATGGCTCCAGGAGCTGGTGCAATTCCAAAAAACCCGAGAAATCCTCAGGGTGGCTCCTCCTCCAAAAGTTGGAGCTCCTACTTCTCTCTGCCTAATCTTTTTCAGAGCTCACCCTTGGGACAGAGTGACCACAGTGAGTATGTACCAATGTTACCTGGAAAATTCCTGGGGCAGGGCAAAGAAATTTCATCAAACTGGGGCCTCAAAGACAGAGCTTCAAAGCCTATGCTGGAGGGGTCTTTCTCAAATTCTGGAGATGGTAGATCATCTTCAAAACCTTCAAATGGTGGGCCCCCAAAGAATAAGGCTAAGAGACCTAATCAGCTGGCTTTTATTACAAAAGGGAATAAAATCAAGCCCATACCACAAAAGCAGAGAGAAGTTGACAGCTTTAGTGGTTATGTCAACATTGACTTCACTAAAAGAGATAGTATGCCAGCCCCCTCTGCTCAAGGACTGCCACATTCGTTGGGCATAATTGCTGACCCCAGACAGTCAGCCTTTTCTAATTACATGAATGCTGAATTCAGAGTGCCCTTTCCAAATCCAGCAAGCCACCTCTCAGATCTTTTAAGAGCTAACCCCTTATCTCTGGACGGTGCTAGGTGGCCATTTCCTCCTCTTCCTCCCAGGGCTACAGGTGGCAATGTCAGTGTGGAAGAGAGTGACTATATTGAAGTAATTTTCAATCCAGCAATGACACCAGCTGTGCCTTTTGCTGACAGTGCCATTCGCTATGATGCTGAAACAGGTCGAATCTATGTGGTCGACCCATTTTCTGAGTGCTGTATGGACATTTCTCTCTCCCCTACAAGATGCTCAGAATCACCACTTGTAGCCAGGCTGCTGCAGGAAGAAGAGCAAGAGACCAGATGCTCACAAAGTCCTTCACAAAGTTTCTTTGCAGCTGCCAGAGCAGCTGTTTCGGCTTTCCCAACTGATAGCCTCCAGAGAGAGATTTCTGCTTCCCTTTCCTCAGCTCCAGCAGCGGCAGCAGCGCCAACCTTAGAGGTAGGCCGATTGTTAGCTGCAGCCTCAGTGCTCACGGTGGTCCCGGGTTTAGGCGCAGCTGCCCAGGTCTTGGAGGCTGCGGTTGGGTTTGACTCCGCCTCCGCCTCCGCCGGCTCATTCCAACCTGTTGCGAATGCTGCTGATGCCGAGGCAGTAAGGGAGGCCCTGGACAATGCCTGTGGTTCAAATTCTAGAGCCCGGAATCCAGCTGCAGATCTTGCCAGAGGTGAGAGCGCAGCTGGCTCTGCTGCCGCTGCAGCTGAGACTCCGCCACCTCCACCGCGTAACCGCTGGGTGCCTAGACCCCCAGAGAGACAAGAGTCTGAACACAATGACGACGACAATGACACCTACGTGAGAGTGGACTTTGCCAGTCCTGACAAGAAATTACGCTCTCCGAAAAGAGGTTAGTAATATTAGAATTAATTTTCTTACAATTGGTGATTGGTTCGTAAGAGTGGATGTGGTGTCTACATTGTTAGGGATTAGTGAAGGTGTATTTACTTGGTGCTAGAAATCAATTTTAATTATTTACACGTTAAATTTTTGATCTTTGCAAAAACCTAAGCTTTTATGAAACAATAAATTTATCTGGACAAAACATGTATCATTTAAACATATGCTCTACTTTTTGGAAGTAATTAAAACTAAAGAACATTAAATCTGAAGATGCTTTCAGACTTCCTTCCCCTTCACTAAGTGATAATGCAAAGCAGGACATCCTAAATTAATTTTCATCAACCATTTTCAAGTCCTTGAGTGGAAATTGCTTTTCTACAGATGTCTATATTGTGTTTAAGTTCAGGAGTTGAATAAGAGCAGAGACTAATAAGCAGTAACAGTTATCTCTTAAGAGTTAAATTACTTTTTAAAAAGCAGTTATTGTGCTAGTTTGTTGTGATTCACAAAAAGGGTTAAATCTCAATTGTTAGCCTGAATGGAAGGAGCTCTGGAAGAGGACAAAACAGAAGTAATTCAAGACAGCAGATGATTAAAAAAGGTGGTATTTGGCTCTGCAATGTGTTTTTACGTTGATCTTTTTATTTGTTTTTACACAGGATAAATTGTGAGAAACAGAGTGTACCTTTTCTCTGTCACTGGTGGGAACAGGACAGTCACATTTACTCTGCTTCCTTTTCTTCTAACCTGCCACTGTCTCAAAAGAGGGTGTGGTGACAGTTTGGTAATGGATATGAATATTATTTCAAAGGTTTAAAACTCATTTAAAACATCTAATTAGCCCTTGGAAAAAATCTAGGAATTCCAGATATCAAGGCTGGAAGGAGACCTGTCCCAGGAGCATCTTACTCTAGATCAGTGAGAGGTTTTAAAGGACTAATTTTCCTAAGGAAGAGTAGCAGCTGTCTGTATACAATGTGACAGGATGTTGTCTTGAGTCATTCTTAAAAAATGACTACAGAAGATAATGTCTCTGTAGTCTCAACTGCTTTTCCTCTTTAAGTAAGGAAGGAATGGACCCCAGCAGTTTTCATTCCAGTAGTCAGTTTAGTGGAGATTTTTGCTTTGCTTGCTTTGAGGAATGCTTTTGTGATTGGATCTCTGCCCACTATGCTTGATCAGGCAGGACAATTTGAAGACTGATCACTACAGTCACCTAACAAGCTCCCTATTTAGTGCAGGTGTAGCCCCCCACCCCATCTCCTCTTTCTCCTCTGGCTATAGAAAACTTGCCTTACAAAAACTCACATTTTCAGCGCAGACACACTAAAAAGAATGATCATTAACAGAACAAAAGGATGCTTTGGCTTGCCAAAGGATTCCATTAAATTGTCAGCCTTCTCCCCAACTGGTGGGCTAGCACGCCCTACCTACCCCAACATGCAAACAATCAACATTGATGCCTTAATTCTGCATTTAAAATTTGTAATTCCATTGGCAAAAACTTAACTCATAACCAGCTTTTCAGGAACAGATTTATTTTATTCTGTAAAGCACACTTGAAAATTAGTCTCAAGCTATTGTTGAAATCTAAGTGCTACTAAAAGACAACCCTTACAACTTTGATGTAAAATTATACATTAAAATAGCTGCTACATTAAAGTAACTGGCTAATTGCTGCAGTACTTTGTGCAGCATGAATTTTGATAGTTTTGCCTATATTTTCCAATACTCTAGTCATTGTTTAAGTGAACATTTAAAATAGTTAAATGTCACTGTTCAATATACCCCAACTTCCCAAGAATTAAGATCCAGTAATCGTTATGTTCACACATATTACTGATTTATAGTTTTTCTGGAGATTTTGGAGATTTGACATTCTCTAAGTGTATCACTTGTTGAGGAAATTACTAACTTTATTGATTACAGTAAAAAGGCTATATCTCAGAGGGAGGCATATGCTTATGAGGAAATAAAATAATGAATACACTTTGGAATGTGAAAGCACTTTTCAAACGTTACATATTTTTATTGTGTCATTATATTAATACTGAAATGAAATTTCAACCATTTAAATTGATGACTCAGTTTCTTAGAAAATATTGGTACTGACGGTGATTCTTGTATGTAGCTTCTGAGGTGTATGGAAGGAATGACAGGTGTGGGATGTGGTGATGAAACAACTCACTGCAGAAAATGATTTTGGTTAGCATTTTGATGTGAATTAATACAGTAGAATGTTGCCTGTAAAGTGAGAAGTACAGCCTGATTAATTAATAGATTTTACCCATTTCAATCTGTCTTCATTTTCCTATTTAACATTTGTAAAATAAAAAGATCATATTAAAGAAACAAAAAATCCTTGACAGGAACAGGGACAAAATATTAAGAGTTACGTAGTTCAAAAAGTAGTTTTAATTCATGGAAAGTGCTTAGAACTGCTTAGTACATAAGTGTTACACATGAATTATTATATAGTTATTATTGTTGCTTTGTTGTTATTATATTTAAAATCACGAAGCTAAATTAAAATTCTCCATCCTGTAATCCCATGTTTCAGTTACTCTGTTAAAATGCTCTACGTGTTTGCTCAGTCATGATCTTTATGGTTAATAACAAGTAAGATTTTGTTACTGAGACAGCATTTTCATATATAATCTCTTTTTATCTGGATATAATGGCATATTTTTAGTCAACAGAACTATAATTTGGAATGATATTTTAATAAATAAAGTGCTTTTAAAGTATTTATTAAAGACAAAGTTTTGACATTTTAAACAGGAGTCTTAGACACTAGCATTTAGAAAGACAGTGTAATTTTTTTAAGTGTGGTTTATTCTGGCTCTTAACCCGTGTATGACTTTTTGCTTCTTTCACTACTTTACCTAGTGTAAAACAAATAGTTTAAAATGATTTGAAGAGAAAAATTACTTGAGTTTTCTTTCAAGAAATAGGAAAATGAAGAAGCCAATTCTAGAGAGCATGAGACAGATGATTAACTAACTTAGTTATGTCGTGAATGCATTTGGTATTTAAAAGAAAAAATTAACTTTTGAAATTTTAGGCACAAGAACCACCATATAGAAAACCTAATTTTCTTCCAAGTGTTCTGTTGCCAAATATTGCTGTAAATTATAGGTGCAGTGAGCAAATAACGTATTATAAATTATTAGAAGAAAAATCTCCACATAGGACAGATTTGCCAGCCATCATTGATGGGTCATTTATTTTAGGCAACATTCAATTCCCCCAAATTTGAGCAGTCCTTTGGAGTGAAGAGACATTTGACCTATACCAATTAAAGAAAACCTTACAAAATTAAAGTTAGCTAAAGTTGTTGGCAATCACTCTTTTGCATTTATTCTGTGTTGAGTGATGCTTCCAGAATAAAAATTTTGGCTACTAGCATAATACCTACTTAAAACAAGGATCACTAGTATAATATCTATTTTAAATAAGGATCAAGACTTTCAGCACACCACAATATGAAACATGCATAAGAATTCAAACAGTATCTCTTGCTTTTTTTTCCTATTGCTAATTACCAAAAACTAAACAAAATACTTCTGAGTCATTGGCAAAGCACTGTTTTGGGAGCAATCTCAGGCTTCTAAACCATTTCATGTTGGAACAGGTATGACTAAGATAGTACAGGTAAAAGTAAGGGCTACTGTGCGTAATTTAAAATGCACTGTTGTAAAGCCTGGTGCAGTAGCACATGATCAAAGTCACAGCACTGGGAAGGGTGAGGCAGGAGCATCACTACAAGTTCAAAGTCAGCTTTGGGCTACATGAGACCATGGCCAGCCTACACTATGCAGGAGATCCTGTCTCAAAAAGAAACCAACAAACAGATGCACTGTTGTCACATTGTCAATTTGTTGATTGAGGGAAAGTTTTCCGGTTACAGATTACTGTGTAATTTGCAAAGCAGATTCACAACCATTATTTTACTGATAGATGCTAAGTACTGGAAGTAAAGCCTATGTTAAGAATTTTTCTGTAGTCAAAAAGCTAAGTGGTAGAGTAAAAATATAACTCATATATCTGATATAAAACACACCACTCCACATAGTATATCACTTTCCTTTAATAGGATGTTTAATGTTATTTTTTATATTGATGAAAGATTATTATATAGGAAAAGATTGGGAAAAATATACATTCATATGAATTTGATGGTAGCAAATTTAGTTATAATTCATGTGCTAACTGTGTCCATGTGCCAGGACTTGGATAATTTTCACTACATTGAGCTGTGTGCTATGGCTCTTAAAATGAAGGAATTTGATATATGCTCGAATTAATGCTTTAAATCTGATCTTGGAAGGAGTTAAATAATCTTTACCTTATAGATACAAATAATGCATATATCCATTTAGATCTCATGGAATGTTGAAAGGATTCAAAGTGAGTTGAATGTGCATCCAGTAACCTCCCATTAATGGTCATTTTTTTAACTGAAGTTAGATTTGTATGTTTTTCCCTAATATGCTTTTTCCAGCTAACAGCAAAGAGTTTTTTTTTTTCATTTCTTTCTGTATAAGATCTGGTATTCTAATCTGTACCATCACAGTAGGGAGAACAGGCTAAAAAGTATGGGAGGATAAAGAAAAGATGCCATAGAAATAGATGCTCTTCATTTATTTAAAAAGTAAACTTGCTGTTGGCAGTCATGTCAGATTTTAGAACCTTGAAAATCAAATCCTCTCCTTGGAATATAAAAATCCTTATTTAAAAGTAAATTCATTTTGTTTAACACCTTTTAAAAGTCTTTAAGATGATGTAAATATAACCCAGACATTTTATTGGCACTATTAGAAAATAGCTTTATAAAATGCTTAATTACAATCTGCAGTATGTTTTGTGTAAGTGCTGCAGGGCTCTTTGATGGTGAGGATCACTTGCTAGCAAATATTGCTTGGTCCTGAGTGAAAAATGAGAGATCTTAAGACTAGTGTTTAGAATGATGAAATGAATACAAAACACCACACTTTAAGCACAAGTATTGGCCTGCTAATTTTAAAGATATTGATACCATTGTAAAGATAATGCATTTGCCATATGAAGTTAAAATATCTTCTTTATCAATTTTGTATGCCAGATGTCTCACAGTTTCATATTTTGGAAGGTAGACTCAATGCTTGAAGAAAAAAGGGTTTTTTAAGGATTTTTTCTTGATGGGGACATATATACTATTTAAGAATTGCATTCTTTTATTTTTAATTATTTTTATATATTTGCATTCCTTTAGAGAGTATCTTTCAACTTCTAGCTGAGGAATTATTCCTGTAGGAAGGAAAATGCATACTTAAATATTTACTTAGTGGAATGAGAAAATTATTACTGTCTTTTTCCCTAACTTCCAGATAACCCTTTCCCTATTGTTTAAGGTTGTGTTGGGTTGTATTCTATAAATTTTACCCTCATAAGCCCCCTTATAAGACTTGTGCCCTTAATTTCAGAAAAACACATTCTTTCCTGCTCTCTCTGACTAAAAAGGTGAGGGACTTCCTGCAATCAAGCAGGGTCTATGTTAGCTTTATGTCCCAATATGTGGCTTGGTCCTCCGTTTCAGCCTGCTAGCTGTTAGCTTGCCGGAATAGTCTTCCTTGTAAGCATCTTTATTGATACAGTTTCATAGGCTGTGCTTTGTGTTCTACTCTTCCTTGTTGGCCCGGCTGCAACTGAGCCACTGTTTCAATCTATGTCCATGGTTAGGTCACAATATTTTTGATGCTGGCCAGATCCTCTGGGTTTACTGAACATCCAGTTCCCCCAAAATTGTGATGACCTTAGCTAGTATTCACAATGTATATAATTTGTTTATGATTAATAATTTTTGCATGCATTTGGACTTGAAACATAGAATATCAATCAAGCCTCTATCTCTAAATTAATCTTAAAAATTGCTCACATATGCACTCGATAGTGCCTTTGAATATGTGATCAGCAAATGCAATAGTAAGTTACGCCTCCAGGCTTCAAGGCACATGAATGATGTCCTCCTCCGCAGAGGCTCCCCTCTAAAGGAATCCTTATTATGACTATAGATCATACCTAGTCTCCCTTCTCCTTCCATCTGTCCTCAACTTTTCCAAGCTTATGAGTTTTGGGGGACATTATTTCTGTCAGCAATGCTAAAGGACATACTTCCCTGGAGCCCTAAATTGAAAGTTCAAATACATCATAAAAAATTATTGTTGGATATAGTTAAAATAGTTCCAATGTTAGCTCAGGACCTGCATAGGTTAATATATATATATATATATATATATATATATATATATATATATATATGAAGCTATCAACCTGTTTACCACCATTCATTTATGGTAGTATTTCTATGAGAATTTATTCTGAGTTTCAACTAAATGATGAGCCTTAGAGTAGGTCTCTCATAAATTGGAGACTGCTTATATTAGAATTCTAGTAACTTGTATAAATTAATAGTAACTAGGCATCAGAGTGAAGTGGCCCAAGGGTGCACTGTTAGGAGGTAGTGGAGAAACTGACCCAGAATAAAATCTTTCATCTGATACCCAGACAATTTGTGTCTGAATAATGTAGACTGGAATGAGGGCTCTAGGGAAGGGTAAGTGTGAAACATTCGAGCTGACCTTTGAAGATATAGAGGTTTGTGGACTGAAGTTATAACATAGCAGGCATAAGTGCCTGCTTGGCAAGCACAAGATCCTGACTTTGATTCCAGTACCCAATAACAACAACAACAACAACAACAATAATAATAATAATAGTTGTATGACTAATGATCTGAGAGTATAGAGTTTTAGATCCAATTCTTTCACAAATTCTTTTGATTTTTCTATCACAAGCTTTTGCAATAATAGAGAAACCTGTTTCATTATCTGACGTATGAAGGAGATAATGTGATTGATATTGTAAAGACTAGTAGCAATTATTCCCAGTTTTTACTCCTAAAGGAGTAGCATTTCAATTTTATCAAGTCCTAGAGAATTATCCTGGAATGCATTCATAAGACATAGAAAGATATGGTTATTTCCCTTATTGAATTTTAAAAAGACCTACATATAATCTAAAGATTATAAAAAGGTAAGTCAAAAAATGTAAAAATATTAGTTCTATTATTATCTGTTAAATTGTAGAGTGTAAGTTTCCATTTATTTTTCTGCCATACATGTTTTGCTTGGTTGCTTCTGCTTATGTAGCCATTAATTAATAAGGGAATGCCAAGTTGACTAATGAACACAGTGAGAATTTTGAAAACATTTTAAAAATCAATTTTTGAGATCTAGGAAAAATGGAATTAAAAACATAACTGACAAGATTGGGGAGAATAAAAAGAAAATGAAAGAATAACTGGATATATTGTTGTACTTTCACCTTTTCTGGACTGTTTCGGACTTTAGATTGTAATAGAGACATGTTTATGCTTCATATAAAGAGATCTGGAATACTCTGGAGGAACTGCATTCTTGGCTCACCCTACAGACTTCTAGGGATATAAAAGTCATGTGTGATTTATTACTGTATTAAAGACTAATACTTAGTTTATTTAATTGTACAAATTGAAACGCAAAAGTTTATATCATTTATTTTTGAGAAGAAAATGATTGCTACCAAGCTTTGTAGAAAGTAGAAGGAAAATGTTTTCATCCATCAGAGTCCATTAAGGTTTTTCTCACTTGCAGGGAAAAACTGCTTGAAAACAATACCACCAATTAAAAGAGGTGGGATTAGTTTGTCATTAAAAAGATCTTTGATTAATTGAAAAAGAGAATACATAATAAGATAATTATAACCTGTCAGTATGAAATGGGAATAATATGTCAAAAACAGACCACATTATTGACACCATCACTATTTACTGCTATGGTGGTGAAAATGTTATAAAATGAGCAGGCTGTGAATCTAAAGTATGATTGTCTATCCTTTAATATTCATTATGTGGAGTGTTCAAAACTGAATTTTAATCCTGAATTGCTTTCCTTTGCCACTCAGCAAGCTTCTGGGTCACTTCCCTTTTGCTGTTCTTTGGAATGTGCTCAGGGAATGTAAACTCATTTTAACATTGGCCTAAGTAACACAGGATTACGAAGGGAAATCTGTGGCTCAAGTTCCCATTATGAATTTCAAAAGAAATTTAAATAATTTTGGGATTATCTTTTTGGAAAACATTAGTTTTTTAACTAGCTTGTTAATCGGAAATTTACAACCATATTTTGTAGATTAGAAGTTATGTAATTTGCCACGTCTTCGTAAATTATCAACCATTCATTCAGTGCTGGCCTGTTATAAGAAAGCCATGAAGATATGTACTGAATTTTTTAATAGAGACTGTCATTTGTAAAAGGAAAGAAGAAAGAAAACACACTCCATATGTTCCACATTTCAGGTTTAGTGTAGTGACAATGCAGGAGTTTTTAGAGCTTAATTTGTGTATTTCTGGAAAAATACATTTTAAAATTGTATATCATTTAAGGAATTAAGAAACCTTTAAAGTATACACTGTACTATTGTGTAAACAAAAGGTATTTTTACAGTAAAATAGCAAATTCAATTATTTGAGCTATCTTTCTAGCCTTAAATTTCAGTTAAAAACATATAGCTGATATTTAACAAAATTCTATGATAATAGTCTAAACTAATTTTGCAACACATAAAAAAATGCTAATCTATGGCTTCACAAGTACCTTTCATCCCGTGTTAAAAAATACTCAGAATCTAAAATTTCCTATGCCCACTACTGACAGGAAGATTTAATTTTTCTTAATTTAGAGTACTTATTTTTCTAACTTTTTAATGTGAAGCAAAGATGTCTTCAATGAATCCTGACTAATAATCACAATATTTTTATGGAAATGAAAAGATCCATTACTTTGTCCAGCTAAAAGTTTGTTACATATATCAAAACATCTGGTGAAAAGATAAACAGTTAAGATGTATACTTCCACTTAACTCAAGATCTTGTACTTGAAGCCTCCGTTAGAGAATGCTTTTCTTGAGCACCTTTAGGTTGTCTCAAATGAAAGAAACAATACTTGGTACTTTCATGTGATCCAATCTTAAAGTAACACCAGCATCATAGTCAATTTGTTTAGCGTTTATTCCTATCCTTCTCAAGTCCAGTATTTCTGTGTACCGATCAGCATGTGTACCCACAGCTCTCCATTATGTACTGTCTCAAGTGAAAAACCAAGAGAGTAATAACTGTAACCTCTTTGTATTAGGCGAAAATTACTGTCAAATTTCTTTTGAAGTTCTGATTTTGTTCTTTTACAAGAAATTTAGAGATTGGGTCAGAAGACTATGACCAAGGTGCTTCAATATTTTTAGTGTGGGGGCTAAGGATAGAGCTCAGTGGCATGCCTGGCAAATGCAAAATCCATAGTTTGATTTCAGGCACCCTCAATTTTTTTTGAATAGGGACACATAACAGGGTGAAAGCCTAATCAAACATTCAGGGCAGTGAAAAACAATCTTTGTCTGTCTAATGCCTGGCTTACTTGCAGGCTCCACTGGATAGAAGCAGAAGAGAGCAAGCATATGCAAAGCCACTGTCCCTCAGAAATGTCAGTGGCAGTGTGTGGGCAAAAGGACTAACTGTCCTAGAGCCATTGTCCGGCTAGTGTTTGTTCTTCATAGGCAGCCTACAGAGTTCATTTACCACCTTTGTGCTCAGACAGCCTCCTCCACATGCATCTCCAAAACATTTAGTTAGATTTTGTTTCATTTTAGAGAATGGAGGGAATGGAAGCTCTTCGTATAATTCTAAAAATAACTTTGTTTTTATCATCTTTCTTTTTAGAGTGATTACATTGCCACAAAAACATATTTTAGAAGAAAAGTGACGCTTAAAGAATTCCATCTCATCTACTCCAGATCTGCCTAAAAGAAAGAAAATTCAGAGGCTTCGGAATAGAAAGCAACCTTATTTCTAAAAACCTACACATGAATTCCAGCAGTTGAAGGATCCCGACTCACTGAGATCATTCCTTCTTCTGTGTTATGGGTCCAAGTGATTTTTAAAATCAAGAATATTTGCACTGTGCTTTGTTTTCCAGTATCCCTTTCTGACATGTGTCTTTGAAAGAAAACAGGTACTATAAAAGTTAACACCTAATAACTCCTTTTCTTGCAATCTACGTAAATGTGGATCATATCAATTTTAATGTTGAATAATATTTGGTTTCATTTTGAAATCATAAAACATTTAAGGGCAGATTTTTAAAAACTTGTACAAATAAGAAGGTAGGTATGATCTGGAATCTTTTGATTAAAATATATTAAAAACATTTCTTCATCAAGAAATGAAATATCAACTAAACTGATGTCTTAGTGGGGGAATTTTCAATATTTTAAGGCAGAACTAAAAGCCAGATTGTCTCAGTTTTTGCTCGTTAACAAGACTACAACATTTCACATTGATCCTCAGCTAAACTAATATCTTGACTGAGCATTTCCAACATTTTAAAGGCACACCTGAGGAGCAAGTTATCTACTTGTTCATATATTACAGTGATCCTCTGCCTGTAAATCAAGTTAGCATTTCCAAATCAATTGTTTTTGAAAACTATATTTTCTCACCCTCCATCCTTTCTCTTTTTGACCCTCTCCTGGATACACACACTCCCTCTCATGCCCTGGACTCCTATAAAGAAATCAGTTTCATATATCAAAAAATTTATACTTATCAATCAACATTCTAATTAAAACATAAGCCCAAACAAGTCTCTTATAAGGCTTTATTTCCTTCTGGACAATAACCTGATGTAGTATGAACCAAATTAAAAAAAAAAAATCAGAGCAAGCTCCTGCCCCTTCCGTTTTTGCTTGCTTCTGATGGAAACTGAATTAAAATTTTAGGAACCTGGATCTTTGAGTGTGTGACACCAACAGATGGTGATCACTTAGGATGTGTACAAAGGTCCTGAAGCTTGCTTAGAACTTTGCTATGTGGTGGCACACAAATCTCAGCCTGTTGTACCATCACTGGCAAACCTCATCATATCATAGATACGTGTGTTTGCATGAATGTGTAAGTGTGTGAGTGCTAGTGTCTGTATGCACATACTGGTATGTATGCATAATTTATGTACCTGTGAACACGTGATTGTAGATGTACCTGTTGTGTGTAACTCTGTCACCAAATTGCTTTGCATTTCGTGTGCAACTTTGCAGTAGTGTAATATTTAAATTTTTCACCACTCTTGATGTTTTTGAACATCTACTTCTAGCTTTGAGCAGGCTTTCAGTACATGTTGCTAAGCTAAATTTTCAGAAGAAATGAGTGAATTTCTATTATTTTTCCTGTGAACCAATCAAAAGGATAGGGGTTTCTTCATTTCCTCTTGTGAATGGGGAGATGTGGCTACAGGACCAGTTAGTGCCACAGTTACTGGTCATTGAGAAGGCTTCACTGCGTCACTCACTTCGGACTCCTCTGTCCCTTCAGATTACTCTCTTTCCCCATCCTAATCAAATAATGCATTGTGACTTTTGTTCAATATGATAGCAATGTGCTCTTTTGGTAGCCTTTTCAAACATTCTATCATCTTTGTACATCGAAATAAGTTAAGTCATACTGATTCAGAATGATGGGAAGATGAGCATATTTGAGGGAAAATGTAATTTACAGATTAGATTTAGGGGCTACCAGCAGACAGGGTGCAGAGGGTACATCACAGCGGTAATACTTACTGAATAAACAAATGGAAACCTTATACACAACAGTACATACAACTAGTAACAGGTACAGCATTACAAATATGCAATGTTTTTGACACTACTCCTTAGTTTACAGACACAATTTATTCAGTATTGTGCTGGAAGAATCTTACTATGTACCAACATCACTTTACCTTCCACTTATCAGTTTATGCTGCTGTTAAAAAAAAAAAAAAAACCAATGGTGGAATGATTTGTGTGTGTCTGTGTATGTGTGTGTGTGTATGTGTGTGTGTGTGTGTGTGTGTGTGTGTGACCTCTACATTAACTTGGTATCATGCATAGTCACTAGGACAATGAAAACTAAAACTTTACAGTTGTAACAGCTCATTACATGTCCTATTTCTGCTTTACAGTTTGGTGTTAAATTGCTCTGGCTTTGTCTTCCTTTGTAAATATTCCTGTATTCTTTGTAAACATCTCATTTGTAGTTCTGGGAGACAAACTTGCAACTCTGTATAGTGTTTATATATGTACATATATATATCTGACTCGCTTTTCCATAGAGCTACTTGCAATAAATGTGTTCACGTAAGTTAGTTGTGTGAAGATTCATTTTCTTCATAATACAGTTATCTATACCCAATTATAAATATATTTGTATTCCTTCTCTGGTACGATTGAGCACTGTTTGCAAAATGAAGAAATTGTGTAACTTAAGGTTTGTGTTCAAGTTATATTCCCTAGAAATTAAGCTTTTCAATAATTAATAAAGTTAACTATTGATTCCCCAAATGGAGAGGTGATACTAGTGTAGAATAATTTATGAAATGACTTACCTGAGTTTTCACATGGCCTATGATGTGTGAACCCTCTAAGTGCCTATTTAAGGTTGAGGTGATTTTTTATAATGTCTTGTCTTTGTATCTTATTACTTAGTCTTGCTCTTTAAATTACTCGCTGTTCATTTCTTTATATTTAACCACGAGGAAATATGAGTACAAGGAAATTGCACCAATGACATTTTTTTCATTAATGGAATATAGAAGGAATGATGGATTGAATGTCAAGAATTTACTAGAAACTCAATTTTGTCAGAAACCAAAGCCCAAATTGTATTTTATTCACCCCCCTCACAGCCTCTTGAAGGCAAACATATTCATGCTTGTTATGCTTATTTGAGGGTTTACATTTTAACAAGACTTGAATTCCTGAAACAGCAGCATGGACTGGCTGGTTTGACAATAAGCAGAATTCACTAGTAGGAAAATCGATATTTGAGTACATGAACAGAATTAGCTTCCTCACACTCCTAATCTCACATATGGTAACCAAATATTCTCTGTACAATTTCAAAAGTACTAATTTTTTAAAACATTAAAATTTGTTCAAGAGACTTGTCAGGTTTAAAAGATGCCTAAATGCGCCAACGATATAGCTCCGTGATGTAATACCTGCCTGACAAGAGCAAGGTCCTGACTTTGATTCAAACATAAATAATTTTTTTTAATTAAAAAATTAAAGATGTCTAAATATACACTAGTTAAGCACCTCCAGTGATTGTTTAGAAAACTATTAGGTGCTAAATGGCCCCAGAGAGCATCTTGGAAATGCACCAAAATGCTTTTTTAAAATGGTTTGAAAACAAAACTAAGAAAGGGAGTAACCTGGAAAATCGGAGCATGAGAATACATATGGGTAAAACAGATCATGGTTCCTGATTTATAAAATGTGCAGATGAGAAATTGCAAAATTAATGCATAGAATAGGGTCAGACTGTATTCTGCATTAGAAAACCTAACTCATCTTTCTTCTGAGATATGCATGCTAATGGATGATGGTTTTCAGACAGTTACCTGAAATCCCAGTTTGCTTCATAAGTGTCCTTCAGAGATAAGAAATGCAACCAAGCTGTACAAAGCCAGACAACTTCCCTCCTGTCTCTTGTGCATGATAAATGCTAAAGCAATTAGGAACCACTGTTGCGTGCTACTTTGGAATTTGTAGCAACATAAATGCTGTGCTGTGTCAGTGGAGGAAAAGCATTTAGAATAAAGTCCTGAGAACTTAGGAGGAGACCACCGATTATGGTTAATATGAAATGTTTGGGTCCATAGAACTGAACAAGAAGCAATCTCCCCCTTGACTTTTCAACCTTAGAGTATCTATTAGAGGGTCTTCTATTTCACTGGCAATACTCTGAATTAGCATTTAAATAACAAAAGAAGGAAAAAAATATTGAAATGGAAAGCAGATTCTTAAGTGTCTACAGGAAAATGTGGAGCTTATAGTTCACTCTATTTCCACATTTGTAATCCTGAAGATTTTCAGCATTTGTGCCTTTTCTGCACCATTTTCAGAAAATTAAATGTATGTAGACCATTTAAAATATATTCCTGCTCAGACTTCTGTTACTGTTTTGTTTTAAATTTTTCAGAGTAGCTTAGAAACCACGTGTATTACATGATTTTTAAATTAATATTTACCTCTATGTTAACATAATATTCACTCCCGAAAGACCAGACCTAATGGTCACATTGCTTAGTTCTAAGAATTATAGCTAAGTATATTAGTCACTATGGATATAACCCATGTGCAATAAATACTGGAAAAGTCTTGTTTTGTAAGGCAATCACATCTTTTTGTGGTAATGTAACAATAACATAAGACCCATGTTCAGTCTTCAAAGAGTCTTAACTGGCTTCCTTAACACTTTGGAAAATGATATTTGACTCTATGTAGAGAATATTCTGAAATTAGGCTTAGAACTATAAGCGATATTAGATAAGGGAGAAAACTCTATCATCCTTTCAACTATTTCTTCATTTTCTTCTCATCTTTGGAGAAGTTATTTTAATCATCTTTCTTAGCTACTCAAGTTGTGATAAAAGGTCTAACAGGATGCAATGATTGGAAAGATTTCTTGTTAGTCTAGTGATTTGTGATTCAGGATAGTCCATAGAAGTTGGCTGGGGATGTAAATAAATGATAGTGTGCTTTCCTAGCATGGGTGAAACCTCCAGTACCACTGGAAGAAGTATAGTGTAGATTCTTCTTGTTTTGACACTCACTATCCCTCACCAGAAAATGACTTCGTTACACCTAGTGCTCAACATAGTTTTCTTTTTTAATTCATAGATTTTAAAACAAATTTTCCCACTTAATATAGAGAATATAAATCTCTAATTATCTAAGGATAATGAGAAAAAGAACTTGAAACTTCCATTACTAAATCATAACTGAAACAAAGGGCCGAGGATTTAGTTCAGTTGTATAGAGCCTGCCTGGCAAGAATGAGGTGTTGAGTTCAGTTCTCAGTTCAAAAAAAAAAAATGAGACAAAAGACTAGGTATACTATTTTAATGAGAAATAAAATGTTTCAGAAAATCTCCCTCTTCTGGCTAAGGTGGCCTGGACTTATATTCCCACCTAAACAACCAAAAATTTTCTTTTAAATATGAAACAAGGTTTTTAACATATGGGGCATCAAGCAATAAAGGACCTACTAGGACTCAAATCCCTGAGAAATGACAAAATTGGTGAGCCCTGCAGTTGACTTGATGTACTATACTGAGAAATATTTTAGGCCATGGGCATGATAGGGGATTATAAGCAGAATTCCTAAACAGTGAAAGCAAGATAATAAGCACAAATTTTACATTTAGACTTTCAGTAATTGCATTAAATGTGAATGGCTTGAATAATCCAACCAAAAGACACAGATTAGCAGAACAGATGTAAAAAGTACTAACCGAGCATATGCTGCATGGAAGAGATGTATTTAAAATTTAAAGATCCAAACTGACAGTAAAAGGATGTAAAAAAATGTCATGAAAACAGTAACAAAAAGAGACAAAGAGACAGTGGTTGTATTAATGTCAAATAGACCTTTAAAACAAACCCTATTACTACAATTAAAGATATATATATATATATATATATATATATATATATATATATGAAGCAAAAGTCAGGTGTGGCAACACATCCCTGTAATCCCAGTACTAAAGGAGTCTAAGCAAAAGAATCACTACTTTGATCCCAGCCTTGTCAAATTGCTAAGACCTTGTCTCAAAATTTAAAAAAAATACCAAAATTTAAAACAATAACAAAAAAGACTGGGCATGTATCTCAGTGTCGAGGTCTTGGGTTCAATCGCCATTACAGGGGTTAAAAAAAGGATGAAGCAAAATCTCACAAAATTGAAGTGATAAAAACACAATTTAATAATAATAGTTGAAGAATTGAATATTCCACTTTTAAAAACAGGAAAAATGGGGGAAGAGGTTAACAGGAAAACAGAAGACTTTAGCAACATTAACAATCAACTAAACCTAATAGATTTCTACAGGGTATTCCACCAAACAATGACAGAATACATATTGTTCCAAAGATCACAAGGAACATGCTCTGAAGGAGACCACATATCAGTCCATACAAGTCTCAGTAAATATGAAAGAATTGAAATCTTACAACATGTGATTTCTAATGATATTGTAATAAAATTATCAGACAGAAATTAGGAAAAGTCACAATATGTGGAAATTAATAGTTCTCTAAATAACTACTGGGTCAGAGAAGCTGTAAAGTAAATTAGAAAATTATTTTTTTTGTCTTTTTCCTTTTTATCGGTACCAGGGATCGAACTCATGACTGCCTGCTTGCAAGGCAGGCGCTTATGCCACTGAGCTAAATCCCCAGCCCCTAGAAAATATTTTGAGACGAATGAAAACAAAACAACAAAATTAATGGGGATTAAACAGTGCTTAGACGGAAATTTATAGTTGTAAATACCTATATTAGAGAGCAAAAAGATTCTAGTAATCTAAGCACCCACTTCAAGAACCTAGAAAAAGAAAAACTAAACAAAAAGTAAAAACAAATAATAAAAACTGGAGTGAAAATCAATAATGGGGAAAGTAGAAAAATAATAGAATTAACAAAATCAAAAGTTTCTTTAAAAAACTTAACAAAACTGATCAACTTTTAGTTAGACTAAGACAAAATAGACTCAGACTACTAAAATCAGGAGTGAAAGAGGGCATTTTACTAACATTAGAGAAATAAAAATGATTACAAAAATACTATGAAGAATTGTATGCAACTCGATTAGATGCAGTAAACAGAACAGATGAATTCCTAGGACATGAATTAATAAACAGCACAAAGTTTACATAAGAAGAAATAAAGATATATCTATTTGCAAATAATATGGCCTTAATATTGAGAAAAATCCTGAGTAATCCAGTAAAATACTATTAAAGCTAAAAAATACATTCAGAAAACCTGCAGGCTACAAGAATATTGAAAGAAATAGAAAGAAGGAAAGAAAGAAAGAAAGAAAGAAAGAAAGGAAGAAAGAAAGAAAGAAAGAAAGAAAGAAAGAAAGAAGAAAGAAAGAAAGAAAGAAAGAAGAAAATGCATCCTTCAAGGATGCAAGAATAATGAAAGAAAGAATGAATAAATGGATGAATGAATGAAATAGAAAGAATGAATGGATAAATGAAAGAAAGAAAAAGAAAGAAAGAGAGAGAGAAGAGAAACAAAATGAAAGTAGACTGCAGATGTAGCTCAGTGGTACAGCACATTCCTAAC